CTCCTGTGGTTCTGTCCCCAAGGAGAATACCATGGCAGGTGCCCAAGTGACCTTTGAAACCTACTTACCCAGTTAATACCAACCGTCCCTCTGCTTTGTGGCTTGGCATTCCTGCCTGAGGCACATCCTTTCACTGGTCTGACCCTCCAACCTGATGTTTTCACTTTATTCTCTGACTCAGTGAAGTCAGAAATCATGACACTCTCTATACCCAGGTCCCCATGCCCTCACTTGCTGGGATGATTTGAGTTGGGATTTGCACTAATTTTCAGCTCATTTTGTCCCCCTGTACTGGGAGAAAAGTCCCCTCCCTCCCGAGACAATGCAATGGCTTGGACGTGTCCTACAAATAGCAAGGACACATGTAGGCTTATGGGGGGACTTGGGCACAGGCTGCTATACATACTGATGATGGCTTGCACCATCCCCTGATAAATGCCCTACTGTCCCCAAACAGGCTTTCCACTCCAGGGTCCATGACACACCCCAACTGGCTTCCAATGTGGGTTTAGGGCAGGCTGTAGACTCTGGGCATCATTAGCAGGAAGGCAGTTTCTGGGTTTTTTTTTTTTTTCCCACATTTCCTCCTTCTTGGGAACCTAGAAGGTGAAGAGACTAAGAATCCAGCTTGGAAGGGTTAGATCCTGGTTCACTAATTGAGAGTCCTTCATCATTCAAGGCCCAGTATTAGTGTGATGTCAGGGACAAGAAAAGGAGTGATACCCCTTAAGGTAACATCATTGCCTGGGACTACGAAGGAGCAGTTGCAGCTATGGGAGAGGTAGACATCCTGCCGTAGGCTCTACCCTCAGCAAAGACCATTCAGGTCCAAAGAGCTCATGAATGGAGTGATTTGAAATGCTCGTCGCCTAAGGAGGACCTTCACTCAAACTCACTACTTGCAAAAGGAGACAACTCAGATGAGTAAGGATTTGCCACCCTGAGGCAGAGAGACAGGTGCCTTTCTCTGTCCCCAAAGAGAGAAGTTTCTCCATTCTCACAGCCTAGCTGCTGTGAGCCATCCATCCATCCAGGTTTCCTGATACTATATGCTTTGTTGTTGTTGGTTTTTCATTTTATTTATGTATTTATTTTTTCTATTATCAGCTTGATACAGTACCATTTCTTATCCTAATAGTGAAATGTTTCACTGAGGCTTGCCCAGTAATTGAGTAAAACCAAAACTTATTATAAGCCACAGTCATCCTAGGGTCCCCCCTGCTATATATATAGCCTCCCTGGTTCTGTGGGTTGCAGTCTGATTGTTCTTTGCTTTATATCTAGTATCCACTTATGAGTGAGTACATACCATGTTTGTTTTTCTGAGTCTGGGTTACCTCACTCAGGATGATATTTTCTAGTTCCATCCATTTGCCTGCAAATTTCATGCTGTCATTGTTTTTCTCTGCTGAGTAGTACTCCATTGTGTATACATACCACATTTTCTTAATCTATTCTTCAGTTGACGGGCATCTAGGTTGTTTTCAGGTTCTGGCTATTACAAATAGTGCTGCTATGAACATAGTTGAGCATGTATCTTTGTGGTATGATTGAGCATTTCTTGGGTATATGCCCAAGATTGGTATGGCTGGGTCTTGAGGTAGATCAATTCCCAATTTCCTGAGAAACCGCCATACTGATCTCCACAGTGGTTGTACAAGTTTGCACTCCCACCAACAGTGGAGGAGTGTTCCCTTTGCTCCACATCCTCTCCAACATAGACTGTCATTGGTGTTTTTGATCATAGCCATTCTGACAGGTGTAAGGTGGTATCTCAGAGTCGTTTTGATTTGCATTTCTCTGATGACTAAGGATGTTGAGCATTTCTTTAAATGTCTTTCAGCCATTTGAGATTCTTCTGTTGAGAAATCTCTGTTTTCCTGATACTATATGCCATAGATTCTTTTCTATATTACTCTATGAGAAAGTATGGCAGATGCCCTGCCTAGAGGTGCAAGCTGACAGCCACCAACACTGAATCCCAAGCCTGACCTCCTCTGACATCTCCTATATCACCATTTATTTGTTTATTTATTTATGTAATGTGTGTGTGTGTGTGTGTGTGTGTGTGTGTGTGTGTGTGTGTGTGTGTTGTGTACATGGAGTTGAGAGGTCAAGGTCAGGCACATTCTTCCACTACCGTCCACCTTATTTTGTTGAGACAGGGTCTCTCACTTACTCTGGAGCTCACTGAAGTGGCCCCTGGCAACAAGCCCCAGGGATCCTCCAGTCTTTGTCTCCCAGTGCTGGGATCACAGACATGCACTGTTACACACACCCTTTGTACATGAGTGCTGAAGATCAAACTCAGGTCCTCATGCTTAACGTGGCAAGCACTTTAATAACTCAGCCATTTCCCCAGATCCCGTCGCTCATTCATTTTTTATAGAGCAAGTCCTGTTTGCTCTGCTAGATCAAAGAGGAATTTCAGTTCTTTTTAGATTTATTTAATTTATGTGTTTGTCCTTTAATCCCAGCACTTGGGAGGCTCGGATATTATTATTATTATTATTGGTATTTTGAGACAAGGTTTCTTTGTGTAGCCGTGGATGTTCTGGAACTCGCTGTGTAGACCAGGCTAGCATCCAACTCGGAGATCCGCCTGTCTTTGCCTCCCAAGTGCTGGGATTTAAAGGCATGTGCCATCACTACTTCAAATTTCATTTCTTTAGTTCATGGTATCTGCTCGTGCTGCCCTAATCACTATGGGAATCCAATTGTGAATTAACCTGACTTTAACAGGCAGTGTGTTTCTTAGCAGACCCTCACTATTGTTCCTATCTTGCTTTTTTTTCCCTCCTGCTTCTTTACATCTACTTTTAACCAGAATGCTGCCTCTTCTTCCCCTCTTTTGGCTTCTGACTTACACCAAGTGTCTACCTACAGTCCCCAAAGGGCAAAATAAAAATAGCCAATTGGTCGATAACAGAATGCGAAAGTTTGTAAGGACAGAAAGGGCAGGCGGGGGGGGGGGGGGGGGGGGGGGGGGGGGGCGCATGGACAACTGGGATGATGAGGAAGCCTGGGAGAAGATTTTTTTGGGACCCGGGGTTCCTTTCAGACAATGCAGGTGGCTCTTCCGTGTTGGGGAAGACAAGGAGGGGACAGGAAGTTTTGGCCAGTGCCCAACCTGAGGCTACTGTTCAGTAAAAACCTAGTCTTCTGGACACACTGTGTGTGTGTGAGGTGAGGCACAAGGCACTTCCTCCAGTGGGCTGTTTACAGAAACCCCACCCTTGATGCCAGAGCATCCAGTTCAGCTTCTGCTACCAAGCCTCCCCGACAACACGGCATGAGTGTTCCCTCCTGTTTAGGCTTTTTGCTGCTGGTATTGATTGTTGCTTTTATTGGCAGACTGTGTACCAAAGTAAAAATAAACACAGGAGTTTGTACAGGGAGACAGTGAAGGGCTTTCTGTGTCTCCAGGGTTTGGGGAAGCCTTGCTGGGAGACCCAGGGGTCAACCCAGTCCTGGCTGCTTAGTGTAGCTCCGCAACTAAGATAAGGATGTTTGTCATCCGTGTCCTGCCCTTTCCAGGGTGGACAGCTGTGGGTGGATGGCTGTGGTCATCCTCACACACTCAATTCATAGCTGCCAAATGACATCCAAGTAGGGCTGTCCAGGAAGCAGTGATCTCAAGGCTAGAACAGCAGCCACACCTCTGTTCATTTCCACATGCAGCTGCCTCAGCTGGCCAGTCACCACAATTTGGGGTGAAGGGTATGGTTCTGAAAGAGCAGGTAGCAACAACTATTACTACATAGGCAAAGCAGATTCATAGAGAGTTGTCCTGTCATGTGCAACGTGGAAGCCAATTGTTCCCACATACTTAGCCAGGTGGTGGTGTGTTATTTATTCTGTCTGCCATCAAATTAAAAACTAAAACTATAACTAAAAAATACAACCAATCTAGCATGGTGGTGCATGACTGTAAACCCTGCACTTGGGAAGTGAAGGAAGGAGGATCAGGAGTTCAAGTTCAGCCTCTGACTTTGAGAGTTCAAAGCTATATTGGGCTACCTAAGATCTTGTTTCAGAACAAAACAATCATTCTTACTGTCATTTACAGACAGGAACTCGGATTAACGGCAGAGATCCTAAAGGCCTAGGATTTGTGCCTAGGTTCTTACAGAGGCAAAATACTATTGTGTTGCCAGAAAGATTCAATAACTGTTCTGTATGTATTTATTTGCTTATTGCCATTTTTTTTTCAAGTTCTAGGCTGTAAACTAAGGTGGGCAAGGATTTTGGCTTGCTCATTGCTGTATCTTCAGAGCCTGAAACAAGTGTCTGGCACACATTGGGTATTCAATGAAAACCCATCCCTAAATAGAAATGACAGGTGGCAAACTCAAGTTAGAGCCTAGCCCCTCTAGGCGCTTTAGTGGTCGAGTAGAGCCCCTAGGCAGAAGCGAGCAGTGGGCTAGGGGGAGTTCGGGGGCAATGACAACCTACTTCTGGCCTCGGGTCAAGGTCAGCAAAAGTCTCAGAAGTGAGGAGATTGTAATGCCAGCCTGAGTCCTCAGGTTCCCTTTTCTTTTTCTAAATCAGGAAATGCATCTTTCTCCCTGTGCCCGCGAAGAAGCGCCGCCCGCACCGGAGCCGAGCTACAGCGTGCAGAGAGGACCCGGAAGGAGCCGGGCGCGCGGGGCCTGGGAGCCCGGCTCCCCAAGGAGGAGCGCGGAGAGAAGCGGGGCGCCGCGCGGAGGCTCGACTTGGGCGCACCCCCGCCGCGGGCTCCCGCGTTCGCTTAGCGCCGCCGTTCCACCTTAAGCGCGCAGACCTCCTTAAGTCCGGCGCGTGAGCGCGAGTAGGGGCGGGACCTCTCATGCAAATAAGGGGCGTGGGGCGGCGGGGCGGGGCGGGCGGGGGGCGCGGCCTGACGTCAGGCCCGCTGCTGGGGCAGTTGGCGCGGCGGCGGCGGAGCGGCAGGAGGGCAGGAGCGGCGGCGCCGAGCGAGGCGCGCGGCGGGGCGCGGGCAGCGGCGGGGCCGGAGCAACATGGCGCCGGGGGGCGGGGGCGGGCGGCGGGACGGCTGGCCGGCCCGAGGGCGCCTCCTCCTGGCCGCGCTGCTGCTGCTGCTATGGACGCGGGCGGCCAGCGGCCAGAGCAGCCCCCAGCAGAGCGTGATCCTGGGCATGAGGCTGGCGAGCTGCAACAAGTCGTGCGGGATGAACCCGGATGGCGTCATCTTCGTGTCCGAGGGCAGCACGGTGAACTTGAGGCTCTACGGCCACAGCCTGGGCGAGATCTCCAGCAACCTGATCTCCTTCACCGAGGTGGACGACGCCGAGACGGTCCACAACTCCACCAACTGCCTGGAGCTCACCAAGGACTTAGTGGTCCAGCGGCTGGTCAACGTGAGCCGCGGGAACACGTCGGGGATGCTAGTGGTGCTCACCAAGTTCCTGCGGAGGAGCGAGAACATGAAGCTGTACGCGCTGTGCACCCGGGCCCGGGCGGACGGGCCCTGGCTCAAATGGACGGACAAGGACTCCCTGCTCTTCATGGTGGAGGAGCATGGGAGGTTTCTGCCGCTCTGGCTGCACATCCTTCTCGTTTTGGTGCTGTTAGTGCTGTCGGGCATATTTTCTGGCCTCAACCTGGGGCTTATGGCCCTGGACCCGATGGAGCTGCGCATCGTGCAGAACTGTGGGACTGAAAAGGAGAGAAGGTACGCCCGCAAGATAGAGCCCATCCGGCGCAAGGGCAACTACTTGCTCTGTTCGCTGCTCCTGGGGAATGTGCTAGTCAACACCTCCCTCACCATCCTTCTAGATAACCTCATCGGGTCTGGCCTCATGGCAGTGGCCTCCTCCACCATTGGCATTGTTATCTTTGGGGAGATCTTACCTCAAGCCCTGTGCTCCCGACACGGCCTGGCTGTGGGTGCCAACACTATTGTTCTCACCAAAATCTTTATGCTGCTCACCTTCCCTCTGAGTTTCCCCATTAGCAAACTCCTGGACTTCGTCTTGGGTCAGGAGATTCGCACTGTTTACAATCGGGAGAAGCTGATGGAGATGTTGAAGGTGACAGAACCCTACAATGACCTGGTGAAGGAGGAATTAAATATGATCCAGGGCGCCCTGGAACTAAGGACCAAAACTGTGGAGGATATCATGACCCAGCTCCACGACTGCTACATGATCCGCAGTGATGCCATCCTGGACTTCAACACCATGTCGGAGATAATGGACAGTGGCTATACGCGCATTCCCGTGTTTGAAGATGAGCAATCCAATATCGTAGATATCCTTTATATCAAAGACCTGGCTTTCGTGGACCCTGATGACTGCACCCCGCTCAAGACTATCACTCGTTTCTACAACCACCCAGTTCATTTTGTTTTCCATGACACCAAGCTGGATGCCATGCTGGAGGAATTCAAGAAGGGTAAGGACTGGTGTAGTTCCTGGTTAAATTCCTCTTGATCCCCCTGAAGCATCCCCTGCATGTTTTTGTGTTTGCCGGTTTTACTCTTCCGTTTGTGTGATTGGGTCTGTGTCCCTCCGTCCATCTCTTCCTGTGCCCCTGAGGGGAGTGTTATCAGGTGCAGCAGAAACCGTTTTCAAGCCTTTGCCTTCTGCCAGGTACTGTGCTTTGTGTTCAGTTGAATCGAAAAGAGACACACTTGTCTGGAGCTGGGGGAGGGATACAGAGTAAGGCTCGTGCCTGTGAAGAGGCAAACACCAGGCCTCCCCGAGATTTAGAGGGCAAGTAGCCAGAGAGCTGAGGATGTCCCAGGGGAGGAGACATTTGAGGGGAATCTTAAAAGATGTAGTGGCCTGGTCCTGGGTCAGACCCCTCTTGTGAGGAAGCCAAGGATGTGCTTGTGGCTCAGCAGGTGGTCCTGTCTAGTGGACCTCTCTTAGCTCTGCTGGTCAGTGACCACCAGGAGAGAGGCTGGAGTATTTGCACAGGGGGAGTACCGTCAGTGGCTCTCCGGCCCACAGAAGCGTAATTGGGAGGTCTCTCCTTGGCTCCTGGGCTCACAACAATGCCATGTAGCAGTTTCCACTGTTTAGCAGAAGCCTGGAGACCAAGCTTTGGTCATTGTTCCTCCTTTCCCAGGTGCCAACATAAACTTGCCCCACCCCACCCCCAATCTTAAGCTGGTCTTGCCCTGCGCGCTCTCTCTCTCTCTTCCTCTGTCTGTGTGTGTTTTCTAACGTGTGCTTGGCTAGCTCCCAGGTAGATGGTTTATTCTCCCCGTCTCAAAGCTCAAGGCGCACACCCCTTTCCTTATTCCCAATAAAGACTTCTTCCCTCTTCTATCCTGAAACCCTCAAAGTGGCTGTAAACAAGGTGATTATAGAGTAAAACCCTCCCAGGCTGAAGGAGGTGAGGAGGCAGAAAGGGCAACTCTTTTGAGAAGAACCTGAGGCTATTTTGTAGGAACTTTTCTTCATAATCTTGGTCCCAACCATCTTCCCGTATGTAGAGCTGTTTCTGGCAAAGGCCCAAGCTAACCTAGGAACCACTTTTGAACCCTAGTTGTGGATAAGCCTGGGATCATTTCTGAACTGGAAAGTGGTGGACAGTCTTGAAATGGGATCAGGAGAGAAGAGATGGTCTTGCCAGATTTGGCCTTAAAAGGTGTACTTGGGTCAAGTCAGGGTCAGGGTAATGCCAAAGGGGCAGATTGGTACCCTCTCTTTTTTGGTTTTTCGAGACAGGGTTTCTCTGTGTAGCTTTGCGCCTTTCCTGGTACTCGCTTTGGAGAACAGGCTGGCCTCGAACTCACAGAGATCCGCCTGCCTCTGCCTCCCGAGTGCTGGGATTAAAGGCGTGCGCCACCACCGCCCGGCCGGTACCCTCTCTTTTAAGTGTTCTAGACAGATGTCAGCATCAGAGCTAAACCAAGACAGGATGTCTGGGTGGCATGGAAGGAGATTTGAGGAGCCTGTTTTGCCCAGGGTCAGAGTCAGGGCACAGGGGCAGTGGGGAGTGTCTCTCACCTCCGTTTTGCAGCTAGGGACCCTGACCGTTTCTCTCCGGTGATTTCACTAGGATCCTGGTGAAGACTCACATGGTGAAGACTTCCTTCTCACCTGCCTCTGTGGTCTTTGAGGTGGTTGCTGGTGACGTATATACCCACCAGTACCTCCCCATCAGTTTGCTCAGATCTGGATCCGACTAGTATGGATTGGCTCAATTTGGTGTCCAGCTCCTGATCAGCAGGGCTGAACTCTTCTGTGGGAGCATGCTGGGTCTGGGCAAGGCATCTTTGGACTCTACTCTGTCCTGTGAAGAAGTGTACTTTCATTGAGTTGGAAAAAAACAGAGCTGGCATCTCTTAGGCCGGAGCTCTTCTGGGCTGAACCCTCTCCCAGAGTTTGGTCCACTAGAGGCTTGTGGCCTGAGTCCCAGCCTTGGAGTGTGGATCCCAAACAGTTCACAGGGAGGCAGGTGCGGTCTACCCTGTGCATCAGGACACTGGAGATGTCACTGTGTCACGGTGGCCACCCCTTATGAATAGACCCTGGGCCTTGTGTGGTGCCTTCTTGATGTCTGGAGGGCTTAGGAGACCAGTCTTAGTTCATAAGTTACCACGGAGGTGTCCTGCCATGTCCATGCCTCCCACTGTGTGGCCTCTCCTGGATTTTTCCATCCGGTGCCTACTCCTATTCTGAGGCTGCCCGGGATGTGGCACACACACCTCATGTGCACTTACAGCTTATAAGATTTTCTTTCCGAGTTTAGCATCTGGAAGGCTTTTTTGTTTTTGTTGGTATTAAGAAGGAACAAGCGATAAATTCAACACTACCAGCATTATGCCAGATGGAGTGGCATATATTTTAGGGTCTTTGCTGGATCTTTCACCCCCAAATTGTGTGAAGGCATTTGACCCCACTCTGCTGGAGGAAGCCTTCTGCTTAGCTGTAATTTTCTTTCTGTCTGTTTGGGTTTCTGTTTTGAGTCGAGTCGGGGTCTCACTTTGTAGCTGAGGCTGGCCTTGCCTCCCAAGTGCTAGGATTGTAGTTGTGTGTGTTGCTCAGCCTGGAGCTGTAAAAAAAAAAAATTTTTAACCAGGTTCTTTTATCCCCACTCCCCAGCTTTTTAAGTTCGTTGAGAATGGGACCCCGCCTTATTGGTTTTCCCCACTGAAGGCCTGCCCAACAGATGGGGCCTCAGTGAACGTTAGTTGGACCAATGAATGGGTGATTCTCTGCCAGGCTTCTCAGGCTTTCCTGTTCCTCGAACACACCTCGACACTCCCACTCTGGGGCCTTTGCCCTAGCTGTTCTCCAAGAAAGTTAGAGTGGCTCCCTTCCCCTATCCTGCCTCTTCAGCATCGCCTCCGAAAGGCCTTGCTGCCGCCCCATGTAGGCCTGTAGCCCCCACATCTCACTTGACCTTCCCCACCCTCCACCCTGTGCTCCTCTTCCCTCTTCTCAAAGCACATCTCACCGCCGGCTCTGGCGCTTAGTGGTTCGCGGTGTTGTCCATCTCCACCCAGTACCACAGAAGATCCAAAGGGCAAGCTCTCCGCTCTGATTGTATCGATAGCTCTGGAATAGCCCTTGGCACATAGTAAGGCCTCAATAAAACGTTCATTACCTAGTGAATGAATGACTTATCAGATTTGGGAGACAATTATTCCTCGTCTAGAAGCTTTAGAATTTTGAGAACGCTAAATGGAGTGCTGTGGCGCCTCCATCTGCACCCGGAAAAGCCAGGGGGTGCCTATAATAATGTCTTGATCCCAGGCATGAAGAGTCTGGGGCTTGAGTTCCATTGCTAGTTGGTTCCCTTTGCCTGCTGGTCAGCCATCTTTGGCCTTGGGAGGTTTTTTTTTTTACCCAGCCTCCCTCATTAAGATGAGTCATGAAATGCCCCTGCATGGCACAGGGTGTGGGGAGCTGAATTCCCCTAGGATTAAGGCAGAGAATCCTGCTTCCTACCTCAAGACAGTGACCATGAGATGCTTATCAGCCTTCCTGCCACGTTCAGGAGGCCGCAGGTGCTTGAGGGACGGACCTCAGGAGTAAGACTTTGTGTGGCATGAAGATATGCCAGTTCATCAAGGCCACCCAGATTCATGTCGTTTGAACCTGGGCCCTTCTACTGGAACCTCGCCTGCAACTGTTTGCAGTACTGGGTGTTGGGAGTGGGTTTGTCACAGCTTGGAATCCTGAAACAAGGGTGCCCAGTGACTCCTAGCCCAATTTACACTTCACTTCCCCTTAGATGCTTTTGCAAGCACTAAGACAGAGTCATGAATGACGCCCCACACATGCCTTGAGCTATCTCCCAGCTTTTACTGTGCCCCCTCCTGGGGTAGTCCTGCCCCTCCCAGGCCCTTAGCTCATCTTTAACCATCTTATCTTTCCCCACCCACCTTATAACCCTCTGGACCACTGTAGAGCCAAGGACATAAACTCCACCCAGCCAAAGCTGGGGTTGTGTTCTACCCAGCTTGGTCAGTGAACTATACGGGGTGACCTTGAACCTGTTAGTACTCCCCTTAGTGGGGTGTAATTTGGAGGCGAAAGCAAGCTAGAAATATTTTCATTTAAAAAAAAAAAATCCCTCCCACATTTCCGTCTGTGCCACGTCAGATTTTCCCGTCTACTTAACTTGATTCCCAGAATAACTGTAAAGCCAAGAAAAAGAACAAAACAAACCACTGCATGAGTTTTGCGTTCCCTCTTCATTCCTGCCATCTGCCACACCTTCATAACTCCCCCACCCCCACCCCCAGCACCTCCTTGTTCGTGCATTTTTGTTCAACAAACATTTAACTTTTTGCAGCCCGTGTGTCAGACACAGTGCTGGCTGTTGAGAGTCAGAGATGTGTAAAAGCCGTCTATTCACAGAGCTCCCAGTCGGCCGGGGAGACAGACAGACAGGCCACCAAGGTTTGGTTGTGCAGATGCACAGACAGGGCAGGCAGGACCGAGGCTGAGTGGGGTGAATGTCCGAATGTCTGAGGTGTCTGGCTTGTGATCTGGAACGGCTAATGTGATTTACCTATGGTAGGGAAAGGAGAAGGAGGAGTCAGTTTGGCGAGAATGGAGCAGAAGGAAGTAAAAACAAGCCTCACCCTCTACTGGCTCCTTGTTCAGCACTGTACGCACCGGAGCTTCTCACACTTTGCTCGCGTCCTTAGACCGCCCAGAGTTTGTACTGAAATTCTGCATTTCTTTTTCTCCTTTTTTAGGTTTTTTTTTGGTTTTTCGAGACAGAGTTTCTCTGTGTAGCTTTGCGCCTTTCCTGGAACTCACTTGGTAGCCCAGGCTGGCCTCGAACTCACAGAGATCCGCCTGGCTCTGCCTCCCGAGTGCTGGGATTAAAGGCGTGCGCCACCACCGCCCGGCCTCCTTTTTTAGGTTTTTCGAGACAGGGTTTCTCTGTGTAGCCCTGGCTGGCCTCGAACTCACAGAGATCCG